GGCCAGCTTGAGAGATTTAGTGAAGCTTTTGGTCAAGCAGGGTCCTCCCACCGTCGGGAGGCTGAGGCAGGATGGGGAGAGGGACAGCCAGGGCTGTCCCAGACCAGGCTAAAAGGGAGGCTGGGCTGGCTCCATCAGACCTGAGCACCTGAGTTGAGCCTCTGGGTTATTCAGGCGTGTGATTCAGGAAAACTGCAGGTCAGAAACCGCGCTGGGGACGCAGCTCCTTGGCATGTGCCAGCCTCCATGCCCTGCACCACGTAACAGTGTGCTAGTGCCCACCTGTCACCCCGAACGTGGAGGTGGAGCTGAGAGGGTCACTGTGGGCATCCCTGGCTATGTAGAGGCTGGGAACACCCGGAGCGACTTAAGACCTCCTATTAGTCTAAAAAAATGGAGGGGGCGATAGTTCAGTAATCTGCCTGCCAAGCAAACAACATGGACCCTTTCCCCAACACCCACAGAAGAGCCCAGCAGGGCACATGCCTGTCACCGTGGTGCGGGGACCTCCCTGGCCCGCCTGTCAGGCAAAACAGTGAGCTACAGGTTGAGACCGTGCCTGGGAAAATTAGATGGTTCTGGATGGGAAAATGTACAATTTTTGTTTTTAAATTATTTTTCCAAGACAGTGTTTCTCTGTGTAGCCCTGGCTGTCCTGTATCTCACTCTGTAGACCAGGCTGGCCTTGAACTCAGAGACCCGCCTGCCTCTGCCTCCCGAGGGCTGGGATCAAAGTTGTGCTCACCACTGCCCGGCAAGAATAAACTTAAAAAACAGTTTTGGGTGAAGCCGAGAGCAGTGTGCACGTCTGCCAACCCAGCAGTGTGGATGCAGAGGCAGGAGGGCTGCCCGGGGTACGCAGAGGTGTGCGGGATTGGATTGGAGCGACGCTAGATCCCCGGCACAATAGGCGAGTCCCTGCCAGCCGCACACTGCGCAGGTGCAGCCGCTCCCAACCCCAGCACGGACGCGGGCCCGGCGGAAACGAGTCCAGCGCGGTAAGGACCAGGTGCGGAGCGCTCGCTGCTTCAGGAGTGCAGGGCGCAAGCGCGGTGGGTGTCCCGCCCCCGTCACGCTGATTGGCCGTCTCTGTCTCGAGGCGGGCCATACAAGTGAACGGAGACGTCCCGGGCACTCTGATTGGCCGGGCTGCCACGCGGCGTGTCCCGCTAATGGGCCTGGGCGGGGCCGCGAGGGGCTTTCGAGCGGAGGCGCGCGGACTGACCCGATTGGCCTGCCCGCCGTGGGGCGGGGCCGAGGCCGCGCCTGCGCAGAGAG